GTGGGGTTCAAAACCAGGATTTTGTTGCTGCGAGGCAACAGTGAGAACCACTGCAGGATGATGACAGAGCGACTAAAACAGATGAATATTTGCTGGTTGGTGGTGTCGTGTGGCTTTAACACTATGAGCTGTGCTGTAGTGCTTTTGGTTCTATCACTGCCAGCACTGCTTCTAATTGGTTTTCCTCTCTGTACTCCAAGGACCAATCACTGGTAGTCGTGTATACTTTTCCTCTGCAGGATATCTACAAGTCACGGGTCAGCACCGAGGTCAACCATCGTCCCACCCACTGTTTGCAGATGTCTATTGGAGGGAACAGTAAATAAGCGCAGCGTCATGGTGGGGGGTAAAATGAGGACATTGTTAACTAGCTTAGCTCATCCTGGCCTTGAATGATAGAGCCAGGATGAAAAGATAAACAGAACAAATAGCTAGTGCAGTCTTACCTGGAACTACTTTCTTCTGTGGTTTTTGAGTCATCACCTTTTGTATATCTCAAAAACCATCAACGATGAAAGCCTGAAATGATCACGAACTTGCTTTATTTTGCATTTTTGTGAAATATAATTAAACGCCATTCAGAAATTGTCAGTAACTATCTTTTGCAATGTGATTTTAGGACAGGATACAAAGGAAGATGAGATGTACGTCACGTGATGAACTCTGACCCTGTGATGTGGTTTCACACAGTTTGTGTGCAGCTAAACGCCGTCCCCGGAGGCTTTTTAACCTGTAAAATCAGAACCTGCAAAGCTAACAGGTTGCAGATGTCAGACGTGTTTTCTTCATGGAGATGTAGGCCGACACAGACACAGAGTTTACTGACATCAGCGATGTGGTGGAGAAGCACAGGAAGGGGATGAGCAGGCTCTACTTCCTAAGGAAGTTAAGATCCTTCAGTGTGTGCGCCAAAATGATGAGAGCTGGTACCCTAACTGAGTGAATCGAATTGGGGCATGTATTCTGTAATGGAATACATTTTGGTAAATGGTAAATGGACTGGTTCTTATATAGCGCTTTTCTACTCATCTGAGCACTCAAAGCGCTTTACACAACTTGTGCATTCACCCATTCACACAAGCACATTGATCTAAGTGCTTTCTAAGTAACATTCACACACATTCATACTCCGATGGATGCATCGGAGAGCAATTTGGGGTTAATATCTTGCCCAAGGATATTTGGCATGCAGACTAGGGGAAGCCAGGAATCGAACCACCAACCTTCCGATCAGTAGATGACCTGCTCTACCACCTGAGCTACAGCCACCCCCCAATACATTTTAAAAGTAACCTTCCCAACACTAGCTGTGTGTGTAAATGTAAGTCCAGAGACGGTCATTTCTGAGCTTTCCCATAAGACCTTAAGTCCTTTCTTTCATTGTTGTTGGTGTTGCTTCTTTAATCATATTTTTCTGAGCTTTTGCTGATGTTAAAATAAAGTGACTCATATGAAGCACTCACATTGCTTCTTTTTTGCCTCATATCAGTCTATTGGCTGATATCACCAGATGCTGGTGCATCCCTGCTGAAAATGAATTTAGTAATTTTTCTTTATTTAAATAGGATTATGGTCTCGGCTATTCTTCTTGGCCTTCTGTTGATCAACAGCCACACGAAACTTGGTGACACAAGCAGTGTTGGGGAGTAACGGAATACATGTACCGCCGTTACGTATTTAAAATACAAAATATGAGTAACTGTATTCCGTTACAGTTACCGTTTAAAAAGGTGGTATTTAGAATACAGTTACTTTGTTGAAATAAATGGATTACACGGCGGTACACAAGAAGCCAAAATATCTGATTACTAACTCTTTCTCTTATTTGCTCAAACAATATTTTTTATGGATCTGTGAGTTATGGGATGAACAAGAAACAGGGTTTTATATATGTTTACAAGTATAGATTTATCTGGCTCCTCTAATAAGACACATTTCCTCACACATGAAAAAGCAAAAAAACAAACAACAAATGATAGAAATTAAACAGGGAAAACACTTTTTTTCTGGCAGTTTTTGTTTTTTAGCATTTTGAGGGAGGAGATCACCACCACAAAAACAATCCACCCTCTGTGAAAGCACGAAACCCTCCACAGGGCAGCAGCAGATTAAAGATGGGGCAGAGGCTGTTGCTTTTTTGTAAACAGGAGTCACTCCCTGCTGGTCAGTGGACATAACGCTGGCTTCACCTCTCAGACCTGAAAGCTAGAGGAGAGTCTCCTTTTCATTGACATTATTTTGAAACGACTGCATGATGCTTGACTGATGGGCCGTTGCATAAAGAGCAGTTTCCCACCTCTTCACTGGCAGCCGGTCAGAGCACTCGCTGTAACTGTCGAGCATTAAGTGTGTTTGGTTTGAAGTTCTGTTTGTCTCTCGGCTATTGATTGAGAACACAGTGATCTGGCTGGCCGCACACATAATTGCATAACATGTTTTTCTCAGTCAAGCATCAATCTTAGTATTTCACAGCCTCCATGAATCAGTAACTTTTTGTCTTGGTACGGGACGTAAACACGTAAATGATGCGCAGGAGCTGCAGAGACTGTAAATTGTTCTAAGGTGGTTCGGTTTGGAGGAGTTCACTGACCACTCGGTGACCACACAGACCCCAAATCATCACTCCTCCTCCACTGTGCTGACAGCTGCTCTGAGGCCTTTCCTCCAAATGTTCTGCTGTGTATCATAGACAAACATTTCCACTTTGGTCTCATCTGTTCAAGAAATTTTGTGCTTTGTTCAGATGCAGCTTTGCAAACCTAAGCTGTGCTGCCATGCATTTAACATGCTAACCGAGGCCTGTAGAGTCTGAGATGGAGATCTTTTTGTTTTGCCGTTTACTTGAGTATTGCGTAGTCTGACCTTGGGGTGAATTCGTTGGGGAGTTCTCACTATAGAATGATGGACTTGTTCTGAAATGACCTCTGAGATGGATGAGCAGCAGCACCTTCTGATGTCTTTCCTTCTTGGCGTTGTGTTAATACACACGAATGCTGCAGATCTCCAAACTGCCAGGACCTCATCACTTACCGATGATCAGATAATCTAGTGCATTTGATAGACAGCATCTGGCTGCTGCTTACACTCTTAACATCACTAAGGTTGGACTTGTACATTTTCATTCCTTTAAAAAGGACGAGAAAGGTTGAGCGTGTCATGGTCCTGGGTTATTTGACCCAGTGTTTTGCATCTTCCTGTGTTTTGTACTATGATTTATATATACAAACTGAATCATCATAAATACATTATTTTATAAGTTTTTACTTTGTTTCTTTTATTCTTCATTATCATAGCACTAGGAATAAATAATAAGGGAAGGATTATGGATCAGCACCAAAATGCAAACTTGTGGCCATACAGTATATACAGTATTCTGGAGATCACTGCATGTGCATGTGTGCGCGTGTGCGTGTATGTGTTTTATGTGTATAGATTTTTTTAAAATTATTACTCATGTTATATTATTTTCCAGACATGCCCCGTAAGGACACGAGGAGGAAACAGTGACAAAAGCAGCTGTGTGAGGCTGAAGGCAGTGGATCCCTCAGCAGCTGGATTACAGGACAGGTCACAATAACACATGTATCAGTTGTTGCATCGCAGAGGTATTCAGGTATAAAAACAATAATAAACACAATTTCTTGGTTCTATGACATTTCTGTAACTGGAAGGTCGCCGGTTCGATCCCCGGGCTCTCTGTCCTGGTCGTTGTGTCCTTGGGCAAGACACTTTACCGATGGCGCCTCGCTTCTGTCAGTCTGCCCCAGGGCAGCTGTGGCTACAACTGTAGCTGCCTCCACCAGTGTGTGAATGTGAGAGTGAATGAATAGTGGCATTGTAAAGCACTTTGGGTGCATTGAAAAGTGCTATATAAATCCAATCCATCATTATTATTAAGTGTGGATAATTAAATAATAGTTTAATACCAGATTGCTAGGCAGAGCCTAGTTTATTTTCTCACAATTTGTTTCATAATTTTTCTGTTGTCTTATGGTTTTATGTGCATAAAGCAAAGAAGAAACCTTGTTTATTTACGAAGCAGTGGAAGGTGATGACATCACTTTGATTTTTCCTGGGAAAAGCTTTGATCTGGATGGTCTGATCAGTGCTGGGATGTAGACTCATTCATTTCCATGGAAGAAGGACTCTTCCATGGAAAGTGCGTTTACTGGCCAAGTATGCTCAAACACATACGAGGAATTTGGTTCCGGTAGATGGTGACTCACAGCAGTGTAAATCACAACAATATGTAAAGGACACACACACACACACACACACACACACAAAAGTGTATTTAGGTCATTAAAAATTAAAAGCATTAACATGTTAGTAATGTTTTGGCATGAGATGAAGATGACTCTCACTTCCTGCAGATCTTCACATGTCCCCGGCTGTGGGACTCATATTTGCAGTTCACGATCAATAGATTTCTGCCCTGCTGTCAGACCCTCGCTTTGGCGCCAGCTGATTCTGGCGTGACGCACTGAGGCGGTCTCCCTGTGCGTGAGGCCAACTCCTCTCTTTCACTGCTCCTCCACATGCTGATTGATGCTGGTAAGGTTTTGTGGTGGTATGGTTCTGGTTAGTGATGCAGGAGGGGTGTGATGGTACAACCCTCAACCTCCACCAATAGAATTTTGGGCAGGGCTCAACACCCATTTTCAGGGATCTCCTATAAAGCCGGGTTTGTACATCCTGGCTTCTGTTCTTTAATTTAACTGAGAGCGATTAAACTGCGCTGCTGCTTTTTGGAGACTTTGACTAAATCATGAGGTAAGTAAACAACATTATTATTATTATTATTATTTTTAATTATGTAATTTCATTAATTGGCAGATTTAAAATCACGTGGCATCCTGATAAATTACAAGTTTTATCTTATTTTAAGATTTATATTACACATTACAGCACTCTTATTACAACTGGATAACTTTATGCTTTAAACCACTTAATACTAAAACGCAGCTTCTTTGTAGACCGATGAATCTATGAATGAATTATCAATGAAATATTAACCTGTGAATGCGGTCACTTTCATTTATTACAATCTTGAACAGAAAAGCTTTGAAAGTGTAATCCAGCAAAAGAGATCAAAATCTGAGCAGATCAATAATTCACGTTGATGAGGAAAATATATAAATTGTTTCTTGTTTTTTCTTTTTTTACGCACAAAACCTCAATTTTTCAAGTCTTTTTTTTTGTACCTCATAGATGTTTGTTCACAATGTAGGCGAGACCATTAACAACTCTGCAAACTGTTACAGTATATATATAGTATAGTACATATATATATGTGTGTGTGTGTGTGTATATATATTAGTTTTTTTTTTTTTTAAACCCATAGATAATACTGATGTATGAAGGTTGTCGGTGGAAGATTTTTAGTAATTTATTTTAGTATTTTCCAAACACAAAGTTCACACAGCTGGAAGTAAGCAGGAGTAATCAGGCCCAATAAACACCGTATAAACCCCCCCGTATATGAGCCCTTTGTTCATATACCGGAGATGACGGAGCCAAATTAAAGAAATGAAAACAGAGTTGAACAATTAAATAAACTAAATGTATTTAAATAGTTATAGAAAGGAATTAAATGCATCAACATCAAAAGGCGAACCCAAAGGATTAATTCATTTATCGTATTTCATTGGACTCGACTTATGCCACTGTTCACACTAAAAACACAAAAGTTAAATTAAGTAAAGCAATTAAATGCATAAAAATACAAATAAAGATTCTAATTAATGTAAAATGTTCATATCCATTTGAATTAATTTTTGTGTTGATTTAATTGTTTTTAAAATAAACTTTTAATTTGACATACTTTATGTATTAATTGGTAAATGTATGCATGTATGTATTTATATATTATTAGTTGTTGGTGACCGCACCATCACAAACACTGTGAGCTCTCTCTTTAGTAAATAACTAAACAAATAAATAAATAGAAATAAATAAACATTCTATAATGCAGAGGAATCACTGATGATAAAATCAGTCATAATAAAATAAACAAAGGAACTAATGAATTTATATAATTAGGATTTTTCTGCGTTGGTATTTATATGCATTTGTATCAATTTACATATTTACAGAAACTGGGAAAAAATAAATTAAATAAAAAAAATACGTTTACATTAAATAAATATATTAATAAATATGTCTGTAATACAGTTACATATATATACGGAAAAATTAAATAGATATAAATATGATAAATATCAATACATATTTTATATATTTAATATATAAATATTGTATATACCTCTGTAATCTAGGAGAGTATAGATACAAAGTATGGCACATTACAAGTCTGATTAAACGAGTCATTTGTTAATCCTGTGCTGGACTCTTTAGTTCCAGGATGGAGACCAAGTCTTACAAGGTTCAGACGAACGGGAAGGGAGTTTGTGGCAAAACTACGGTAAATGGAAAAACCCTAAATGAAAATGGAGTGAACAGAAACGGGGTGAACGGGAATGGCGTCCACCATGTCAACATCAAAGGCGCCTTATACCCGATCAAATCTAAGAGCCGCAGGCAGAGGTGGGAGGTGAAGCCGTCGGAGATGGCAAACAACACGCTCAACCCCATCAGGGCCATCGTGGATGGGATGAAGCTCACCCCAAACCCGGACAAACCCATGATCGCACTTTCGATCGGTGAGGAGATTCCTCGTAAAATTCACTTAAGATTTGGGGGTTAATCTTGTTTTTTTCTAACTGCTGATTACCCTCACCTTTGCTCCTCAGGGGATCCCACCGTGTTTGGAAACCTGCCCACAGATGGCGCAGTGCTTCAGGCCATGAAGGATGCCATAGACTCCCAAAAATACAACGGCTATGCTCCGTCTGTCGGTGAGCCATCCCTAAAGTGAAATGATGTGAAAAGATAGATGCAAAGATAAATATGTTTTTCTAAGAGCCAGCAAAGCTCAGAAGAAACTGCTGAACACATACAATCATGAATCTTTTCTCTGCGTCCACTGACAGGTTACCTGCAGAGTCGGCAGGCGGTGGCAAACGTCTACAGCTGCCCTGAGGCTCCACTGGAGGCAGAGGTGCTCACTCCTCACACACATCTGCCCCTAAATCTGAAATGTGAACTACACCTTTACTAAAAACTCAGCAGCAAATGGCTTCGGCGTCAATCTGCTCGTTACAGTGGATTGTTTTGAGTTCCTGTGTGAAATTAACAGATTCTCTGAACTAAAGAAGACCCCGTCTCTCTTCCAGGATGTCATTCTGACCAGCGGCTGCAGTCAGGCCATCGACCTGGCTATCAGTGTGTTGTGCAACCCAGGAGACAATATCCTGGTACCGTGCCCAGGCTTCTCCTTATATAAAACTCTGGCTGTTTCCATGGGCATCGAGGTCAAACTCTACAACCTGCTTGTAAGTGTGGGGACAGTTTATCTGTTTTTAATGCTGGACTAAACACGAAACACTTTTTGGGCTGGAACAGTTACGATTATTACATTTTAGTCTTTTCAAGTACATCAATCATGGGTAAACTAAAATCTGCCACACACACCAAACTCTTAACTCTGTTAAAATGAAGTCAGTCAGCTTGTCTGTTAATTTCTCCCAGATTTCACATATTTTAATGACCACATCACAAAGGAACAACAGAGCAGGAAACATGTGAATGAGGCTGGTGACGGCGAAGGCTGTGGAACACACAGCATTTCTGTTTTCTGTTAACTGGATTCATTTATATCAAAGAATCCGATTTTATGAGCATGTAATTTGTAAAGTTACTAAAGTAAAAGTGGCATGAAAATAATACACAAGTAAAGTAATGGTGCATAAATATGTATTATGATTATTTTCACAGCCGGAGAAGTCGTGGGAGGTTGACCTGCAGCACATGGAGAGCCTGATTGATGAGAGGACTTCCTGTCTAATCATCACCAACCCATCCAACCCGTGTGGCTCTGTTTTCAACAAGAAGCACCTGCAGGAGATCCTCAAAGGTTGGCTGCACTCAGAGTGGGGACGAATTCCAGTTTTGTAAACAAACAAACACAACATCTCTCAAACAATTCTTCCTTTGTCCAGTGGCCTCCAGACACTGTGTCCCCATCCTGGCCGATGAGATCTACAGTGATATGGTGAGTGTAGCAGCTGTCGACACAAGCTGCATCTCAGCACAGGTGGGCTTGGCTCGTGCAACACCAGCGAGGCACTTTCTTTTTGTTTTAAACCACAATGACAGTAGATGTTCTGTTCCAATTGGTGGCATTTGCCCTGGCTCTGCATGCACTGATGTACGTGCACAACCTCACATCAGCACATGGGGGGGATTAGTGCCTCTGTGCAGGCCAGTGGCAGGGAGGTCAGCAAGGACAAGCAGTGGATAGATAAAGATTTAAAGTGAGACCGCAGCCATGTTAAAACATACAGTCCAGTACTAAATATAAAAGGTA